CTCACATCCCCCCTACTCTCCAGACTTGGCTCCCTCGGACTACTATTTGTTCCCCAATATGAAGAAATGGCTGGCGGGAAAAAGATTTTATGGAAACGAGGACGTGATTGCAGAAACAAATGGCTATTTTTCAGACTTGGACAAATCCTATTATTCGGAAGGGATCAACAAATTAGAGCAGCGTTGGACGAAGTGTATAAGCCTAAAAGGTGACTATGTTGAAAAATAAAAAAAGTTTACCCCAAAAAATTAAGTAGTTTTTATTTTTGCACGGACTTTTCAAACGACCCTCGTATATAACAATTGTAAAAATAAAATAAAAATTTGACAAAATACAAAAGTTTGTAAATGAATAAAATAATAAAATATGAAATAAAATAATGTTTATAAAATTAATGACAATAATGTTAATAAATGTAATAATGTTAATAAATGTAATTTGATACTTAAGATTGGCTAAATGTATGACTAATATACAACTCTTACAGTTTTGAACACAACACGTGAGCATTTTTACATACTAAATAGAATATGCTATTATTTAGAAAAAAGATTAATAAATTACAATAAAGAAAATAGTTTATAAATGAATAAGAAGCACGATTTTTTATAGATATTGTTATACATATTCTAACTGTTGTTGCTACATAAAACTGAAGAATTTCGTTCTTAATCACTCATCGGCCACCTCGAACTGAACAAATTTCTCAAAAAAATAATACAATTAAGAAGGACGCGAGATCTGGTTCACGACATGAGACTTCGCTTTTTGATTACTTCTAATCTAATGTAAAATATTAAATAGCTAACACATTCAAATATACTTATATTTATGTAATAATATATCAAATTTAAGAAAAATGAGAAAGTAGGTGTAATTACGAGGGGTGTTCAAAAAGTAAGTTTCCCTGCTCCGGGAAAAAAGCAAAACACAATTTTTAGGTTAAAGTAACATATGTATTTATTGTTTGACTTATAAACTATTTTTCTACATAGTCCCCTTGGACTTGAATACATTTTTTATATCTGTTCTGAAGCTTTGACAAACCTTGTTTATAAAAATCCGTGCCCTGTTTTTTAAAGAATAATTTAACAAAGTCTTTCACTTCATCATTTGAATTGAAGTGATGGCCACCCAAACTTTCCTTTAACTTAGGAAAAAGAAAAAAGTCACTTGGTGCGAGATCTGGAGAGTAGGGTGGGTGATCAAAAATTTCCCATTTGAATTTTTCCAGTAAGGTTTGTGTTTTTTTTGCTGAATGAGGCCGTGCATTGTCGTGAAAAAGCAACACTTTTC